AACGAAAGTGTTACAATAGACAGAATTTGCTTATTTATGACCTTGACCTTTGACTTTTTGACCTCAAAATCAATAGCGGTCTTCTTTAGTCCATAGGGAGTTGCTATGCTAAATTTCATTGCAAAAGCTCAAAGGGTTCTCGAGATATCGTGTGGAAACGAAAGCGTTACAGACAGACAGAAAGACGGACGGACGGACAGAGGGACGGACGGACGGACAAACCCAAATTAACAAGCTAATTCAGAGAATTCGTGTCCCCCGCGTAGGGAAAAAGTCGGATCCCCCTGACTGAATTTGTAGAGTTATTAAATGTATACATGTATACTGAAGCAAATAAAATACATGTATGTCAATATGCATATAAAGATTTGATTGCTTATTCTGTATTATGTGTATAGAAGATTCTTTTTATATGGAATATTTATCACACTGTAATGATGATTTTATAACCTCATAAATTTTTCATTTCACATGCTGAATACTATCATTTAATAAAAAAAGTATTTTAAAAAAAAAAAGAAAAAAAAAAGACAGATTCGACCGAGATCCGATCCCGGGACCTCCCGCATGTGAAGCGAGTGTTAGACGGTGTTAAGTATATGCAGAACTAAAGTCACATACATGTGTATATTCATGTTCGGTATTCTCAAAATTTTACACAATCCATGGTGTTTGATTTATTTAGCCATTATTAAACAGTTCTAATAGATGTAATAAGAACATAAAGTCCGCCGAGAACCTGTTTTATACGCAATAACTCTCCTCATGCCCCTGCGCTAAAAATAGCGACATGTAATACTATAAATACTAATAAAACAAGCTAATTCAGAGAATTCGTGTCCCCCGCTTAGGGAAAAAGTCGGCTCCCCCTGACTGAATTTGTAGAATTATTAAATAAAGATTTGATTGCTTATTCTTCATTATGTGTATAGAAGATTTTTTTATAGGGAATTTTTATCACACTGTACATAATGATGATTTTATAACCTCATAAGTTTTCCATTTCACATGCTGAATACTATCATTTAGTATAATAATAAAAAAAAAAAAAAGAAAGGTTCATCCTAGATTCGATCCCGGGACCTCTCACGCTTCGAGCGAGAGACAAAACCACTAGACCACGGAATCGCTTTACTTGTCGTGAAGTATATATGCAGAACTGAAGTCACATACATGTATATATTCATGTTTTCATGTTCGGTATTCTCAAAATTTTACACAATCCGTGGTGTTTGATTTATTTAGCCTTTATTAAACAGTTCTAATAGATGTAATAAGAACATAAAGTCCGCCGAGAACCTGTTTTATACGCAATAACCTGCCTCATGCCCCTGCGCTAAAAATAGCGACATGTAATACTTTAAATACTAACAAGCTAATTCAGAGAATTCGTGTCCCCCGCTTAGGGAAAAAGTCGGCTCCCCCTGACTGAATTTGTAGAGTTATTAAATGTATACATGTATACTGAAGGAAATAAAATACATGTATGTCAATATACATATAAAGATTTGATTGCTTATTCTTTATTATGTGTATAGAAGATTTTTTTTATATGGAATATTTATCACACTGAATGATGATTTTATAACCTCATAAATTTTTCATTTCACATGCTGAATACTATCATTTAGTAAAAAAAAAAAAAAAAAAGAATGGTACGACCGAAATACGATCCCGGGACCTCTCACATTTGAAGCGAGAGACATAACCACTAGACCACGGAGTCGCTTTACTTGGGGTGAAGTATATGCAGAACTGAAGTCACATACATGTATATATTCATGTTTTCATGTTTGGTATTCTCAAAATTTTACACAATCCATGGTGTTTGATTTATTTAGCCTTTATTAAACAGTTCTAATAGATGTAATAAGAACATAAAGTCCGCCGAGAACCTGTTTTATACGCAATAACTCTCCTCATGCCCCTGCGCTAAAAATAGCGACATGTAATACTATAAATACTAATAAAACAAACGGGGCGGGGCACTTTGAGAGGGGCGAGAGACGTCCTAGGGATTTTTGGTATAAAATTACATTGCATAAGCTCAAAATCTTCTTCAAATATCCCCCGGAAATGATAGTGTTACACACAGACAGAATGTATAAATTTACGACCTTGAACTTTGACCTTTTGACCTCAAAATCAATAGGGGTCTTCTTTAGGCCACAGGGAGTTGTTATGTAAAATTTCATTGCAATAGCTCAAATGGTTCTAGAGATATCGTGTGGAAACGAAAGTGTTTTAACAGACAGAATTTGCTTATTTATGACCTTGACCTTTGACCTTTTGACCTCAAAATCAATAGGGGTCTTCTTTAGTCCATAGGGAGTTGCTATACTAAATTTCATTGCAAAAGCTCAAAGGGTTCTCGAGATATCGTGTGGAAACGAAAGCGTTACAGACAGACAGAAAGACGGACGGACGGACGGACAGACGGACGGACGGACGGACGGACCAACCCAAATTAATATCCCCCACTTTTCAAGCGGGGGACAATAAAACAAACGGGGCAGGGCACTTTGAGAGGGGTGAGAGACGTCCTAGGGAGTTTTGATATAAAATTGCATTGCATAAGCTCAAAATCTTCTTGAAATATCGCCGGGAAATAATAGTATTACACACAGACAGAATGTATAAATTTACGACCTTGAACTTTGACCTTTTGACCTCAAAATCAATAGGGGTCTTCATTAGGCCACAGGGAGGTGTTATATAAAATTTCATTGCAATAGCTCAAATGGTTCTAGAGATATCGTGTGGAAACGAAAGTGTTTTAACAGACAGAATTTGCTTATTTATGACCTTGACCTTTGACCTTTTGACCTCAAAATCAATAGGGGTCTTCCTTAGTCCATAGGGAGTTGCTATGCTAAATTTCATTGCAAAAGCTCAAAGGGTTCTTGAGATATCGTGTGGAAACGAAAGCGTTACAGACAGACAGAAAGACGGACGGACGGACGGACGGACGGACGGACAAACCCAAATTAATATCCCCCACTTTTCAAGCGGGGGACAATAACTCTCCTCATGCCCCTGCGCTAAAAATAGCGACATGTAATACTATAAATACTAATAAAACAAACGGGGCGGGGCACTTTGAGAGGGGCTAGAGACGTCCTAGGGAGTTTTGGTATAAAATTACATTGCATAAGCTCAAAATCTTCTTGAAATATCGCCCGGAAATGATAGTGTTACACACAAACAGAATGTATAAATTTACGACCTTGAACTTTGACCTTTTGACCTCAAAATCAATAGGGGTCTTCTTTAGGCCACAGGGAGTTGCTATGTAAAATTTCATTGCAATAGCTCAAATGGTTCTAGAGATATCGTGTAGAAACGAAAGTGTTTTAACAGACAGAATTTGCTTATTTATGACCTTGACCTTTGATCTTTTGACCTCAAAATCAATAGGGGTCTTCTTTAGTCCATAGGGAGTTGCTATGCTAAATTTCATTGCAAAAGCTCAAAGGGTTCTCGAGATATCGTGTGGAAACGAAAGCGTTACAGACAGACAGAAAGACGGACGGACGGACGGACAAACCCAAATTAATATCCCCCACTTTTCAAGCGGGGGACAATATCCCCCACTTTTCAAGCGGGGGACAACAAAAGGGTGGGATATTTCAGAGACGTATTTGTAATCTTATGGACCAGATAACAAAGTTATAGATGGGATAAAGTTCTTTCTTTTTTAACTTTGAAGAAAAATTAGAAAACAGTATCAGGGATCTATACATTCATATATAGGTCCCTGATAGTATATACAACAAGCTAATTCAGAGAATTCGTGTCCCCCGCTTAGGGAAAAAGTCGGCCCCCCTGACTGAATTTGTAGAATTATTAAATGTATAAATGTATACTGAAGCAAATAAAATACATGTATGTCAATATGCATATAAAGATTTGATTGCTTATTCTTCATTATGTGTATAGAAGATTTTTTATATGGAATTTTTATCACACTCTAATGATGATTTTATAACCTCATAAATTTTTCATTTCACATGCTGAATACTATCATTTAGTAAAAAAAAAAGTATTAAAAAAAAAAAAGAAAGGTCCGCCCGAGATTCGATCCCGGGACCTCTCACACTTGCAGCGAGAGACATAACCTCTAGACCACGGAATCGCTTTACTTACCGTGAAGTATATGCAGAAGTGAAGTCACATACATGTATTTATTCATGTTTTCATGTTCGTTATTCTCAAAATTTTACACAATCCATGGTGTTTGATTTATTTAATCTTTATTAAACAGTTCTAATAGATGTAATAAGAACATAAAGTCCGCCGAGAACCTGTTTTATACGCAATAACTCTCCTCATGCCCCTGCTCTAAAAATAGCGACATGTAATAATATAAATACTAATAAAACAAACGGGGCGGGGAACTTTGAGAGGGGAGAGAGACGTCCTAGGGAGTTTTTATATAAAATTACATTGCATAAGCTCAAAATCTTCTTGAAATATCGCCCGGAAATAATAGTATTACACACAGACAGAATGTATAAATTTACGACCTTGAACTTTGACCTTTTGACCTCAAAATCAATAGGGGTCTTCATTAGGCCACAGGGAGTTGTTATATAAAAATTCATTGCAATAGCTCAAATGGTTCTAGAGATATCGTGTGGAAACGAAAGTGTTTTAACAGACAGAATTTGCTTATTTATGACCTTGACCTTTGACCTTTTGACCTCAAAATCAATAGGGGTCTTCTTTAGTTCATAGGTAGTTGCTATGCTAAATTTCATTGCAAAAGCTCAAAGGGTTCTCGAGATATCGTGTGGAAACGAAAGCGTTACAGACAGACAGAAAGACGGACGGACGGACGGACGGACGGACGGACGGACGGACGGACGGACAAACCCAAATTAATATCCCCCACTTTTCAAGCGGGGGACAACAATACTTGTAACGAACTTTTATGGAGCGAGTTAATTATTAAAATACGAAACTGTGTCTGAAACAGCTTTACTTGCGCTTTCGATTTGTTTGGCGGAAAAAAATAATTAACTTATCAAGAAATGAAATGGCTAGCGAGCTTGATGAAAGGTTTGTAATTTGTCATTTTATGAGTCAGGAAATGCATTGATTTGTGTTATTTTTTCCCCCTGAAATCTGTAATTTATAACTCAAATACGTTATCAATTTTTGAAAGTTCTAGATTTGAAAACGTGTCAGTATAAACTCACTAATTTTTTAAATAAAATCTATTGTTGATTTCATAGAGCCCTAGAGGATATTAACACCGTTTTAGAATATGCTAAGCTAGAATCGTCTGATGTAAAGCCAACGGTACAGTGTATTTATTTCTCTGAACACCTTGACAATCAGTCGTTCAAACTTTTGGAGGTGAATGATACAGTGCTGGAAACCTTAACAGATGGAGGAAGGTATACATCTCTGCTAGTAACTGAGCAGAGTTTCTTAATCTGCATTATAACATTATAACTAAAATTAAAATGAATTCCATTTCACTGAATCCCCATACATATTAATGTATACATTTTTTGTCCGTTGAGGGCTTTGAAATGAATTGAATTGAAAAAATAATTTGTAGTTCATTCAACAAATTTAAGCCTTTTTTTTAAATCCCAGAGTAGTAATTAGAGGGAACTCAGAGGACATGGCAGTACTTTGCACAAAAACAGCCACTTATGAAATAAAAGAGGCAGAGATTTCGAATTCTATGTTGATTGTTCCACAACTACACATTGGTCCGGATCTGGATGATTCAGGTCCCCAGAGACTCAAGGTTTCAAAGGTAATTATATAACTAAATCTACGTCTACTTCTTGAATTAATTGCCATATTCATATACTAAAGTATATATATTAAGCTTCAGCCTATAAATAGACAAGAGTTACAATAAATGTTGTTTCACCCAGGTGACATCTGTGATGAATAACTACTATGAGCTGAGACCATGCAAACCTAAAGTATCAAAGCTGAAGAAACTACTGGAGGAGAACATGTATAGTGGTAGAGAGTGTGAACAGGACGAGGAGCATCAGGGTCATAAGGTCAGTGAGGTTATACGTTCAAATTAGGAAGATGTTCAGTGTACCTTCATAGTACATTTAGGAGATCTTAGAAATTCACCCAGGTGAAATAAAACCTAAAAGATTCAAACGGCGTGGTATTTTTTGTTAGGAAACCAGAAAAACTTACCTGTATTTGTTCTTATACTTTAATATTTTTATTGTAGTATTCCTTTGAGGATTTGCTGAACATTGTCCAAGGAAGTGAAACAGAAATTAAAGAATCTTTGAAGAAACTTCAGGCTTGTCAAATTGAAGGTCTATGATAATGGCATAATCATAATACTCATAAATTTGACCTCAAAATTTTTA